GGGGGGGGGGGGGGGGGCACTGCGGTGCCCCCGTCATGCAGCAATTCCACCGCATCCCCCATGATCCATGCAAAGAACGGTGGTCTGCTCCGTCGTTGTCACTTGTCACACCGCACCTCCAGCCGATCACGTCGCTGCTGTTGCCGTAATGAGCTCCAAGACATCGCTGCTGGTTGCCGTGTTACTCCTTTCACCGCCGGTCTGTTGGGACTATTCCCTGACAGCAGCAAGTTCAGCGGTTGAAGAAACGGAACTGCAAGTGTTCGGGGAGCCTGAGCCGGGACTCGAGTACGAGTTCGGAAATGCTTTGTTCGACTTCGATGTACTCGTGACAGGTGGGAACAGACGTCGTAGCGCCATAATATGCAGCAGCGCACTAAGAAGGGCCACCTGTGCTGTGTACGGCAGTAAGATTCGATCTTCCTCTCTCGTCCTCTTTGCTCTATCATACTATCGTGTCCCTGTATCAAGCATGCGGACCACATCATGTGTTCAAGATGTGACTGCTGTTCAATGGTTGCTACTTGCAGTCTTTTACGGCAGTGCTACACCAGTAGTACTTGCTTCTAGCCGGTGGTTGCTTTTGTACTGCAATTGCTTCTCGGTTGCTTAGTTGCAAGAAGTGCATGGTTTCCTTTTTCCGTTCGTCTGCAGATCCATCGCGATAGCATTCACACCAACATGGCGGTGTGTAGACTGTTGTACACCATCCCACAGGGTGCCTCCGATGTACACAGGCCGTAATTCGATTCAGCCTCGATTGACCGTAAGATTACGCCAAATGGCAACAAGGACGTGTTGACACGGCTTACTGTCACTGATCATGTGAATGGCCCCATACGGCAAAGAGTATTTCCCCGCGAGAGAGCGTAGCACACACAACCGGTGGCGAAGAACCAGAAGACCAGATGGGCACGAATGTATCGTCGTCTCAAACTCACTCGAGGCAGATGTCAAATGGATGGCTATGCTTGTAAGCAATGCCGAGAGACCCCCCCCACGTCGTCCTCTGTGCGCTGTGCCCTCTCTCTCTCCACTCGCTATAAAAAGGATACGAGCCTTTTCTAGACCACTTGGTCAACCCTGCGCAGAGCGTCGCCGGCTCTTTGAACGGAACATGCGACACCGTCTACCTCACGCCTCCCAAGACAATGCGGCTTTGCTACGAGGGGGTTTCGGTTCCGGTGACTGCGGAGGGGAGCGGTTGGGCAGCCCGGCAGCTGGAGGAGACGCCCGCGAGATGGGACGGCGTCATCCACCTGGTGTGTTTGGGCTCCCACCCCGTCTTCTTTCGCTGTGCTGCTGTTGGGATTGTAGTCTGTCGTTATGAAGCAGCAGCAGCGTGTTCCTGGTGCATGACCTCCGTCGACACGTGGTTCGGGGGGTGCGTGCGTTTCGGAGAGGCTGAGCTCGTACGTCCTTTGTACGTGCCCGCACGAACCCTCGCCGTAGCCGTTCGCACGAAACGCCAGAGTACCATTGTGCGCAAAACGGTTGCCCTCCAAAGAGTGTTTGCGTTTGTTTGGCTGACGACCCGTCACTAGCTCCACTAGTTGGTGCTTTCGCACTTATTTACATCATGTGTGTGTTTATTCGTTGGGAACTTCTGAAACCCCTCTCTTCCCGCCCTCTTCTTTGCGTCGTTGATTGCCGATGGGTTTTGCTCCGTTGATGTTGGAAGGGGTTCGAGTCGTCGGCGAAGGGCCTCCGACTGGAAACGATAGCGGCTAACGTCAAGACTTCGGACGACTTCCACTACCTATGGAACTCGGACATCCCGTGCCAGAAGGAAGGCACCCCTTTCGAGTATATCCATGAGGTTGGGTGGACATGTGACGTAGGATTTTTAAGTCGAGAGAGACGGGGGGGGGGGGGGGGGGGGGGGGGGGGG